AAGCTTTTTTCTGCTGGTAAGTGCTGGGAAGTATAGAGTATGTTGCAAATACTTCCTTCAAGTATGCATTAGAGTCACCAATTATGAATGATAATGTTCACACACATCAGCTTGCAAGATAACTTTACTCATAGAATGTAGTTAATATAATCATGTAAACTTTTTATAGGTGTGTAATCATGACCTAATTGACTGAGGTGCTTGCTGTTACTGTTAAAATTTGTGCCATAGGTGCTTGAAATGATTATATTCATTGAAAAGAAGGGGGTCATGATTGCCATGTCAATATTCATGCAATTTGAATTGTTCTCAAAATAGTGTAATCAATCATGCTTATTATAGCAATAGACTAAGACAATAACTAGATTGCTATTTTTGACGGGCCGGGCCGGGCTGGGCTTGGAATATTTGCCAAGAGTGGGCTACGGGCTGGGCCGGGCTCTGAACCCATGGGCCCGGGCCGGGCTGGGCTGGGGATTTTGGGGCCCGTGGCGAACACTGTTTCAAGGTACGTTTCCCTTGTACTACATGCGCCTTTGAAGCTGCATTTTTTACTCATTATGCTACCGTTTGTCTGGCCAATTCGGTCAAGTAATCTTTAGCATGTCTTTGCATAAGTGTGCTGCCTATTTGAAATTTATACAGCACGTTGAAAAGTTATGGGCCTGCAAATGAAAGTATGGCTGGCTGGGGTAATGCCGAAAACGTGCGATTACGCACGTGTTAAAAGCACGCTACGTGGACTTTACTGCTGTAGAATAGCAACGCGTATTTTTAGTCACACAAATTACACTTTCAACCGACACAACGGCCTGTTACCTATACCTAAGGAATGATTTACCTGGCATTTTCTTATTATATCACACAATTATAACTTCCAGTGTGCACCGCGTCCTCAAGCTCTTGAAACGTGTGTCAACTTTGATGAATTCTGGATAAAGTTTGAGATAAAATGGCAAAACATCAATGTCGGCATTCCCCGTAGATCATTTCTCCCATTTTCGGCTTTCCCCGCAGTCCGGGGCAACGCCGAAAAAGTCACTTCTTTGATATTTTTAGTTTGTGCGCTTAACGGTATGCGAATTCATCAAATGCGCCTGGTATGTTTGAAAGGCAAAAGACTGGCCTCTCGAATGACGCCAACAAGAATAGCGTATGTTGTTTACCTTGCGTGCTACGGGCGTCAGAAAAAAAGTCTTCGGCGTTCCCCCAACTTCCCCTAACGGTTGCTGGAGTTCAGTGGGCGTTCGATCACAATATTTCACCGGGCGGCCGACCCACGCGTACGGCGCCGGGCCGCCGGGCCGGGCCTGCTCCCAGGCCAGTCCACACGCTGGGCGCGGCAGACGGAGGTGCGCCGCGCGTACCATCGGCTGCGTACCATCACTCGGCGCGGTGGCTCATCAGCTGGCTCATCAGCGGGGGACGGTCGGAGCCGATTGTCGGCGGCGCCGTCCGGCCGGCCGACCAGCCCGCGCAGTCGGCCGGGCCATCGCGCGGTCAGCAGTCAGCACGTCCAGGCGCGCCCTGGGAACCAACTCCACAGCACCAGTGGCTATCGGCTGGTGCGCCCTGGGAACTCCATCGCTGAGCCCCTCCATGGTGGATGGTGGATGGAGCGTGTTTGAGCCATGAGGTGCCCACAGTGTGTCCTTCCTGACGCGCGTGTCCGTGCCATTAGGTACTGGTTGTCGCTTTGGCGGCTCTAAAAGTTCCCTTCTCTGATGAATAAATCAGAATATGTCAGAGTAAGCTCCGTGCTCCCCGTCTATCGAGATACATCAGGCTGATGTCCTGTTCAGCCCTGCGGCTCACGAAGCTCCGAACTGGGGATCCCAACTGGTTAAATGGCCTCAATGTTTACAACTGGATTGCTGCTCATGCACCGGCAGCGGCTGGTGTGGGTGTGTGTACATAGACTGCACGCGCGGCGCTCCACTGAGTGTCATCCCGGCTCCATAATATCAGCGGCCGGCGCGCAGTGCAGCATCGGCCCCGCCGTGTGAGGGCAGTGTGTCCCGCCGTGTGAGGGCAGTGGTGTCCCGGCCGTGTGAGGGCAGTGTGGCCCGCCGTGTGAGGGCAGTGTGGCCCGGCCGTGTGAGGGCAGTGTGACCCGCCGTGTGAGGGCAGTGTGTCCCGCCGTGTGCGGACAGTGGAAGCCCGCCGTGTTAGGGCAGTGTGTCCCGCCGTGTGAGGGCAGTGTGTCCCGCCGTGTTAGGGCAGTGTGTCCCGCCGTGTGAGGGCAATGTGTCTCGCCGTGTGAGGGCAGTGTGTCCCGCCGTGTGCGGACAGTGTGTCCCGCCGTGTGCGGGTGGTGTGTCCCGCCGTGTGCGGACAGTGTGTCCCGCCGTGTGAGGGCAGTGTGTCCCGCCGTGTGCAGTGAGTCCCGCCATGTGCGGGTGGTGTGTCCCGCCGTGTGCGGACAGTGTGTCCCGCCGTGTGCGGGTGGTGTGTCCCGCCGTGTGAGGGCAGTGTGTCCCGCCGTGTGCGGACAGTGTGTCCCGCCGTGTGTGGGTGGTGTGTCCCGCCGTGGGCGGACAGTGTGTCCCGCCGTGTGTGGGTGGTGTGTCCCGCCGTGTGCGGACAGTGTGTCCCGCCGTGTGTGGACAGTGTGTCCCGCCGTGTGCGGGTGGTGTGTCCCGCCGTGTGAGAGCAGTGTGTCCCGCCGTGTGAGGGCAGTGTGTCCCGCCGTGTGCGGGTGGTGTGTCCCGCCGTGTGAGGGTGGTGTGTCCCGCCGTGTGTGGGCAGTGTGTCCCGCCGTGTGCGGGTGGTGTGTCCCGCCGTGTTAGGGCAGTGTGACCTGGGTGACGGGTAGTGCCGCCTCCCGTGTGTCGCCGCCGCCGGTGATCATTGATGGCCTGTCTCCTATATGGAGAAAGCCGACCCGCTGTCTCAACACAATGTCATCAACAGTGGCAGCCAACTGCGGGCGTCACGGCGGTGATGGCGTCACGGCGGTGACGATGAGGCTGCAGTGACGGCGGCTCGGCGCCGGTGACTGGTGGCGCGGCTGCCACGCACCGCCAGTGGGGCGCGGTGACATGTTGGACACACCGAGCGGGTGAAGGGGCTAATGATTATCAGTCGGTAACAGTTGGAAGTCATGGTGGTTCGTTTGTGAAGTCGGTTTGAAGTCCCGCGTATGGATCTGCGGGCAGCGGATGCGAGCTGTAGCGGACACGGTGCGATACGGTGTGACCGACCACTGCGGTGTCGCGGCGGAACGGACGACTGAGGTCGTGGCCAGCGGCTGGGCGAGTGCACGCAGCCGGCAGCTCGACTGCAGCACCGCACCGCGGCGGTCCGCGCGCCGTGGCTCCCCGAGCCCAGCTCGGCGGCCGGTCGGAGGTCGACCCGGCGCTTGATTGCCGGCGAATGGCGCTGGCGTGCAGTCTGTTGAAACTGGACGAGGTCAGCCGCGTGGAAATGCCCAAAGTCCTAAATCCTCATCCTCATCCCTCGTTAGAGGGGATTTGACCCATGCAAACAGCGCACCCGTATCCTGGACACTGTCAGCATTTTATATTACAATGAGGCGGCGTCAAAAGCTTTGGCTGAGAAAAAAATGCCACTATGTGAGTGCCGTAAGCACATTCTCAAGAACAGAACACTTGAACATTAGTCTTTCTTTACGCATGACACATTGCTCTTTTTTCGTTCGTAGGTACCGAATAATTTTCGCTGATGACGTATCTTTTGCATCTTGTTAATTTATGCACACGTGGCACACATTCGAATCGTATTGATGGAGTGTGTTAAGGCATTTCTGGGAGCCATTTCCAGAGCGCGATTATTGTCGAGCTGCGGGTTTAGGGGCACCGCTGGGCGCTGGCTGAGCCGCCACGCCGTCCGCAGCTGCGCCGGCACCTCGGCCCTCCTCATAATCAGACAAAGCTTTATTGGAAAATGTTCATAATCACGTGGCGGAATCTGCGCCATTTGTGCCGCACATATGAGAGAATGTGCGCCAGTTCCGCCAGACGACTGCGGCGGAAACTGCGCCACGTTTGGCGAGCCTGGTGACGCCATCGATTTTCTGCGGGGCTGGCTGGCAGTGGGGACGGCGCGGACGGTGGTCGCGGGCCGGAGATGTCGGCTGGCGCCGAAGTTACTGGGATCAGATCAGCGCCGAGATCTGGCCTTGTTTGGGTCGCGGTTACCCAATGCTGAGCGGCTAGCGCAGCCGGCGCCCGCTGCCGGCTGTTGGGGTGAGGTGGAGTGGAGCTCGGCGGCAGAACAGGGCGCGGTCGGCCGCCTCCGCTAATGGCGCCGTGCGAGTCCCAGGGAGCTGATGTTTACGAGCTATGCTGCCGAGTGATTTTGTCATCTGTCGTAAACACCGCCGATCGGCTGACTTACGATTCCGCTGAACCAGTCGGCGTGAGCGCGGACAAACACTGCAGCGTCTGAGCCCGCGGCTTTGAGCTGAGCCGGCGGCTGTGTGAAGAAGAAGCCATGTCCGGGTGCGTGCAACTCCCTGTCCCGACGTCCAGGGAGCCTCGAGCACTCTCGTGTCGGGCTGTGGCCGCACACCAGGCGATTAACATTATATATGTCAACGTACCAGCCCACCGCTAAAGTAATGTAGGGTTTTACCAATCTCAACGGTTGGCTTTGACTGGCGATTGTTTAATACCGAGTGATCGAAAAGAAGTTGTCAATAGCTAAAGTTGCAGCTGCAAGGGTGACGATACATATAAGCTACATTCAAAGTTTCATTGTAGTCTGGCTAATCGTTCCTAAGCTTCAGAAGCAGAACATACCCATGACTGAAACCCCACATTGCTTCTGCTGTGGACTGTACCAGCCCAGCCGCCACTGTTGTGGCTAAGACTGGATGTCCTGGTCTCTGCCCATCGCTGCATGTTTGCGTTGCCCCGACAAGGGACGCGACACGAGCACGGTCCAGCCACATGCCTCGGGAGAGCACGGCGGGCTGAGACTGGCTGGCTCCCGTCCCCGACCGTGTCTGCGCGCCCACTGACGCCGCCTTCTTTCAGGAGCTGAAGGAGAGCTTCAACTACGGCCTCTTCTACCCGCCCCAGAATGGCAAGGCGGGCAAGTTCCTGGACGAGGCGCGCCCGATCGCCGACTACCCGTTCGCCGAGCCGGTGGGCTGTCTGGAGGTGAGTCGCTCCCGTCCCACCGGGCGGTCGGCACGGACCACCTGTCGCTGGTTCTGCCACTGGCGCTGACTGGCCGGGTCGTCCGCTCCCTTCCCGCGTGTGTTCAGGTCACGGCGGCCCGCCACCGCTCTCAGTGCGGTGTCTGGCGGCCGGTCTGCCCGCAGGCCCGCTGCCAGAGCTGACAGTAAGTACGAGAGACATGGCGTCTAGCGAGGCCACAAGACGCCCAGGGCCCAGCGCAGCCGCTGGAGGTTGGTCAACAGACGAATGGCCCGCGGGACACAAATCCCCGGGCCGAGGCTGGCCGAGGTCGAGGACAGGCTGTACGCAACCTTGTTGCGATATTTGAGCAGAGCTTAACAGTTCATGGATGCGAAATGCACGTTGCTGATGCTGCGACTGTTTCGGCGTCCCAAATCAGTAGTGCGTCGTAAAAATTCGACCAGAACCCTTGCACAGCGTTGTGCAACGTTTTCTGTAGTACTCAGCCAGCTGCAGGACATTGAGACACTCGTTGTTTGTAATGACCCAGTCATTATGTTTGCGGGTCAAAAGCCCGGTTTCAGTGAGGTGTTTTGCAAGGCCCTCATAGCCTTCTGGGATCTTTGGCCACCGCCAGCGCGGCACCAGAACCCTGACGACTGTGTGATAACATTTACATGGCGTGCGTGATATGACATGCGTTGGTCTAAATTGAACCCCGATGAACCCTGTTACTGGTGGGCTGGTGGTGGTGGTGGTGGTGGTGGTGGGGGTGATTCGGCCCCCTTGCTATCTCGAAAACTAATTGTCCCATCTTAACCCGGCAGTTGCTGGGGTATTTCGCCACCCACCGTTTGCTGGGGGGGGAGGGCGTTAAACGCCCCCAGCCGATAACTCGAGAACCAATAGGCGCAGCGAAACGCACGAGGCGGCAAACGAAAGAGCGCGACGAGACGCTTCAGATGAGTACTTTAAAGTTGAGTTTTGAGGTCACAGGTCGGGTCAAGGTCAGGTCAAACACCTGAAATCGGCCTTTCAGTAGCATGGACTTCAGGACTTCGCAATGGGCGCCTCTCGTCATAAACTCTGTCAAAATGGTGCACAATCCATCGTATAAGGCCTACAAGAGTGTCGGCTCCATGTAGGGGTCAGTCAAGCATAGGTCAGGGTCAAGGTCAGGTCAACCGGGTAGGCACATATCCCCGAAAATCAAAACTGATATTCGCAGCCCGTGACACATGTTTTATGGGTAATTTGGGGCGTTGAACACGATGGTGACATTCATTTTATCATATGTGTACGTATTTGGCTAAAAATGTTTAATTCAAGAAATGCATGTATCATAGTCGTGAAGTAGTCACGAGAAATTGTCAAGATTCAGTTCAAGATTTTGGAAAATGCGGAACGATAATCAATAATCGAAGATAGCCATTTGATTGTTCATGGTATTTGCAGTCTAATGGCGTTTACGGCATGTCTGTATGTCTATTCTGTGATTTTATATGATTTTTTGAACATATGCCGTTTTTGGTCGAAAACTCAGAAATCATGACGTCACCAAAACCTCGATATCTCAAAAATTTGAGATATCTCAACCAAACAGCCTGGTCTGTTGATCTGTAGATGGTTCTCTTTCGCCTATGTGTTTTCTGCTGAGTGCTGATGTTTTCTGTTCTGGGTGATGTTTTTAACTGCCGAAGAAGTCAGACGGCATTCTTTCCTTTTGGTTGGCTATTTTTCGCTCAGCTCCGAATTCTCTAATTGGAATACATTACGCAGGTGTGAAATTAACTCCTCTTGGTTAATGCAAGCGTCACGCAATATTGCCACAGCTCATAACTCATTAGTTTTTCCCCGGCCTTCGCCGGAACAGATGCACAAGGCTGCGGCTGGTGGTTTTGCCAGTGTGCGATGTCAGGCACTGAGCTCCAGCAGGGGCCGGTTTTGTTCGCGGATCCGCTGCAGCCGTAAATGCCACCGGCTGCCTCTGGATGGCGCTGGGCGCGGCGAACTGCGCCACCGGCGGCCGGCGGGACATGCAGTGGCCGGGTCCCGCGGCGCCGAGCTCCCCGGCCGCGGCGGGTCCCGGGTCCCGCGGTGCCGAGCTGCCCGGCCGCGGCCCACCCTCAAGGCTGGGAAAGGAGCGGCCGCGGTCGCCGGCGCCAGCTGGCCGAGTCGCCGCTGACCGCCACCGCAGAGCTGGGTCAAGGCGAGCGCTGGCCGGCCGCTGCAGCCGGCCACCGAGGTGACTGACGCTGCTTATCCCCGGGCCGGACCAAGCATCCAGCCGGCGGCGGCGGCGGCGGCCACTGGCCTGCAGCCACTGCGTGCCGGCCACTCGGCACTTGGCCTTTACCTCCCACTTTGTGCAGCGCGCGGCGTCTCTGTGCCGAGCGCGGAGGATGCGCCGCCGCCACCGGCCCGGGGCTCGACCAGCCGGCTCCGTGCCGTCCCGCGCACCGGACCGCCGTGGCAGGGCCGGGCCGTGCAGCACTGCGCCGGCAGCGCCGCCGGCCCAGAGCGGGCGCCATTGACATGGCCGGCTGTCTCGGGAACCGGTCCGTGTGCCGACCCGTCCGCCCGGCTCGGCACTTTAACGGTGACGTCACCTGACGGCCTGTCGTCAGCAGCAGCGGCGCCGCTGTGCGAGCGGAGAGGGTGGCGGCGCGGCCGGCTCGGAGCGCCCAGTGCAGCGGTGGCGGCAGCGGCCGGCTCGGAGCGCCCAGCGGTGGCGGCGCGGCAGTCCCAGTCGGCAGCGTCCAGCAGCGGCACGGCAGAGCAGCGCTGGCGTCGTCGGCAGCCTGTTTGTGTGCAGCGCCAGCGCCGGCTTTTTTGCGCGCGCTCAAGGCGAACGGGCAGCGTCCAGCGGCGGGCGGCGCTGCGGGCGGCGGCTGGTCAGTGGCGGGCGTCGCTGCCGGTCGGCGGCTGGCCAGTGCTGGCCAGTGCCGGTCGGCGGCTGGTCAGTGCTGGCCAGTGCCGGTCGGCGCCGGGTTGTGCCGGCCGCTGCGGGAATCAGAACAGTCGGCGCCACCAGCCGCGAGCGGTGTCAGCGCGCCACGGCGGCTGGAGACAGCCAACAGTGAAACAGTGCCACTAAAAGTGTGCTAGGATATGTTTTAGGCCTGAAGATGCTGTGAACGCCGCTGGCAGCCATTGTGGCAGCACGCTGCTCTCACCGGTGTGGAGCGATTCGTGTGACCGGCTGAGGTGCCCGGTGGTGTTTCGTGTGACCGGGCTGAGGTGCCCGGTGGTGTTTGGTGTGACCGGCTCTAAGGCGACTACCGGGAGGTGATCGGCCACCGTGCGCAGCGCTCAGTCCGCCGCTCACCATGCTCTCGGTGGGAGAGGAGTCGTGGCGCCGCCAGCCGTGCCGCCGCCGGGCGCAGCGGGTCGCCTCGTGCCGGGAGGGCGCCGGCCGCGGCCAGCAACGCGTCTCCTGGCAGGACGAGGTGGAGCGCGTCTCCTGGTGGCAGGACGAGGTGGGCCGGCAGACGCCGCCCAACCGACTGCAGCGCTCCCACTCGGTGGCCACCATGACCGACGTCGTGGTAAGTCTCCCGCGAGGAACAGCCGTGCAGCAGCTCACGGCGCGCGGCAGTGAGATCGGCTCCCAAAACGACCTCACTTCCTTCACCCACGCGATTTACCTAAGGCTTGCTGTGAACTCTGGGCGTATTTTGGAGCTGACCGTATCGGAAATTAGTGGCTGTTTTGAAGCTGGTCCGGCGCTCTGCAATGCATCGCATTCCCGATCAAAGTGAGGCGTATCGCTTTTATGGCGACCCGTGGCCCCCGTGCGGCACTCTGCTCGTTTTTGCTCGTTTGCCGGCCGGTCGCACGACGTTTGCTAAGTGTCCCCACATCAGCACAGACGCGCCGCGCCGCGCCGGTGCGTGGCTTTGTGTCGGCGCTGCGCTGGTCTGATGGACACCAAAGCCTGGTGGTGGCAGGGGCCGTGGAATGCCTGCCGGCCGGCCGACTGCAGGCCCGCTCTACTGTGCACGGCCGCCGCTCACCGCTGTGTGGCGTGCAGTAGGCCCGCCTGCTGTGCACCGCCCGCGCCCCACACCGACTCCCGGGACCGGGCCGGCGGGGCAGCACTGCTGGCCGGCGGCCGACCCTCTCGGGCCGCGACCGGCACAGCGCACCGTCCGCAGCGGCAGCTCATATCCGCACTCAGGTTCGCGGGCCCCGCACCTGTCTCAGTTTCTGTCCAGTAGGTAGCTGCCCGGAGTGCCGGCGCCCCCCGCTCGGGGCGCGGGTGGCTGCTCTGACGTGTCGGCTGGCTCCGCCGAGCCGGTGACCTCACCGGGCCGGGCCGCGGCTCAGCCGGGCCCGGCGGGGACCGGTCTGATGCGGCGTCCATGTCGGGTCCGGCGCCCTGGACCGATCGGTGATCATCTGATCAGTCGGCGGCCCTCCAGCGGTACCTGCTCCCACAGAGACCGGTGTGTGCGGGGCGGTCTCACAGGGAGCCGTGTGCAGTGTGCCGTGTGGTCTCACAGGGAGCCGTGTGCAGTGTGGTCTCACAGGGAGCCGTGCGCAGTGTGGTCTCACAGGGAGCCGTGCGCAGTGTGGTCTCACAGGGACCGGCATCGACTGACGGCACCTCACCGCTCTGTGACTGTGGGATGGCTGTCAGCTGCCGTCCCGGGTCGGCCTGGCCTCTAAGCCCGGCATCTGGCCTCACACTGGCCCCACACTGGCCTCACACTGGCCTCACACTGGCCTCAGACTGGCCTCAGACTGACCGCACACTGGCCTCACAACTCTTACTGGCCTCAGACTGACCGCACACTGGCCCCACACTGGCCTCAGACTGGCCTCAGATTGATCGCACACTGATCGCACATGAGTGGAGCCTGCGCAGGCCATTATCTGCGGGGACGTCTCGTGTGTAAAAAGACGGCGGGGAGATCAGTACTGGGTACATCGCGGGACATCGGAATGACGTGTCTCATCGGGAATCTGCGAGCAGCCTGTAAAAGGCAGCTGAAATGTTATGCTGGTGCTCTGGG